CTGACGTTTCTGAGTTCTAAGTCCTGGGAGATACACCAATGACCACAGCTGAGGACCCGGCTTCAAAGGCTGGGTCAAGTATGACAGTGTTAGGATCCATGGGGATGTGGCCACACTTTGGAAATGGGCAAGCAATAGACATGGCCACTATTAGGACCCAAATCCTCAGGCCCATCCTGGAAATGAGGGAACGACAGTACAGCTGCAGCAGAAGGTGTTGCGACATGAAACAAACACAAGCTTTCCTAAGGTCACGAGATGAGTCAGTCACTGATAAGCAATCCATCTTTGCCTCAGTAAATTTTCCTACTTAGTGAATTTGGACAGCTCCGAGACAGCTGTAGTGCTGATAAACAAGCCTGCCCAGAGTACAACAAGCTAGTGAGAGCTAGGTCACCCTGGCCCGGTGTCATCTCTCCCTCCCTATTTCTATAAAAAGCTCCCCATGAAATTCTAAAGTCCTCGCTGAATCGATTATCAAACCCAATACCGGAAGCCTATCTCCAAAGGGAAAACAGTTTTAATGCGAACGCCGCCCCTCGCATTCCCTCACACGCAGATCTTTCGCTTCTGCCAATCTTGTCCGTTCCCTCGGACAAGTCTAAGGAAGAGAGAGGAGACGCCAAGTTTCTCCTTCCCTCCAGCAAGTGGGACTTGGTACTCTCTCCAGATGCTTGCTCCCTGTCACTCTCTTACAATGAGTTCTCTCCCAGACATCACGTCACAGAGTTCTCGGTAGGCCTGTCACATCAATTCCCAGACAGGTTTAGACAGGATAGAACCCCACAATTGGAGTCAGCTTGGGATCAAGGGAGAATAAGGTAATAAATATCAAGTGCCTACGACGGCACCCACTGAGCTAATGCAGGCTTTTATTCATTACTAGATACGTTATTCACTAAATCCTGTTTTTATTCGAAGAGTTTCTTTTGGGTGAAGAGCCTACCACAGTCCAGGCACTTGGGCAGGCCCTATGGAGAACAGCAAGAATTTTTTACCTTTAGAAAGTTCAGAATTTAGAGGGAAAAGAAGGCCCTCAGACCACCAGAGTATAGCGTTAAATCTGTACTATGTTAAGTAGAAAATATGGAAAGTGCTCGAAAAGCACGGAGGAGAGAAGCTTCCTTCTGTCCAGCGAGGTGGAGCAGGTGTCAGAAGGCAGGATGCGGAGAATTTCTACCATCCAGGGAGGCAGCAATGCCATTCCAGCGGAAGGGAAGTGGACGCGGAGAGAACTGAGGCGGAACAGGGCACGTCGCATGCAGCAATGATTGGCTAGCAAGAGAGAGGAAGGGAGCAATCACCGATAAGAATGGAAATGCAGACTGGGACACATTCTTGGCTGCCCTGAAGTCGAGGAAGACAAGCAGAGGGCTGTAGGAGCCGCCTAAGTCAGACAACACTGCTCAGTCAAAGGTAATAATCATGAGGGAATAGGTGTCAATGCAAGCGTATGACAGTAACGCTGTGCCAGCATGGTGGGTATTCGGGAGGCGAGGGAGGCCTGGGAGAGCCATCTCCCCTGGGCGTAAAAGCTGGCACACGGCCACGGAGGGCGAGTGGCACTGCCCTGCATGCCCCTTTTCTCTGGAAGGTGTGCGGTATGTGCTTGTGTCATAAATCTTGCCCTGAGTACTATCTGGAGACAGGGCTTCGCTGGAGGACAGCTGCGTGACTAATTTTAGGTCTGTGCTCGAGAATTAGGGCAGGTTTCATCTCCAGGGCAAAGAGGAGGCACAGTGATACAAAGCTGGGCAACTGTTCCTACAAAGGCATCCCGGAATAACTCTCCCACAGCTTACGAGAGCTGGGAGGATACCGCTCAGGAGGGCTGGTTGTGGCCCCTGACGTGGTGCTTCGCCCCTTTCCTGGAAGCCCTCTTCAAACCCACAGAACTCATTGGGGTGGTTCTCAGACACGACTTGGGGGACGGCGTTCACAGGAGATGAGCACTGGCAGAAACTTCCGGTATCTGTATGTTCTCTAGCTCTGCTGCCTGATCTGAAGCAGCAGCCAAGTATCCAATAGTAATTTGTACTAACAACAAGTAGCAATAGGATGCACATCAAAGTTTACAGCATTTCCACTCATTACTTCTCAATGCCGCCAACAAACCTAGGAGGTAGGACTTGCCATACACACACTGAGAGTCAGCTAAAGCAGGGGTCAGCAAACTTTCGAGACGGAAGCGCCAATCCTATCCCTCGCAACAATTTAAGAATTACTCGAGAGCCATAAAACAAATGAAATCACCATTATGTGAATAATAGCCTTTAAAAATTGTATAAATGAAACTATGATTGCTTTATTTTCATTTTCAGTTTTACTTCAGAGTCACATGTATGTACGTACCCAAAGAGCCGCAGGTGGCTCGCGAGCCGCAGTTTGCCGACCCCTGCGCTAGAAAATCGGTAAACAATGCAGGTCTTCCGATTTCACTACCTTTGTTCCTAGCTCGCTGGGGGTAAGGTAGAAAGCAAGGTAGCTTTGGGAGAGCTTTCAGAACAGAAGGGAAACAAACATTTGTTTAGCCTTTGAGAGGAACTAGCCATTCGATGGAGGAGAAAGGCTCCCCTATCATTAAGCAAATTGTTCCATGAGTATGAGCCATTTAGACGGTAACAGAAATTTAAACAAACTTGAACAGCTTATGATTGTCTTACATATGGCGGTTTGGAAATAAAACGCTGGAAATATACTGTGTAAGAGACTCCAGTGGTGGTTTAAGAGCTGAGGCTCATGTATCAGATAGGCTTTAAATTCCAGCTCTGTCACTTAAATCCCAGCATGTTACTTAACTTCTTACAGCGTCAATTTTTTTTTTTTCCTCCCTGTAAAATTGGGGACAGCAATAGCACCTGCCTCACAGAGCACCGGAGAGAATCAAATGAGGTAAAGCATACAAAGAGCTTAGCACAGGGCAGGGCACATAATAAATGCCATGACAATGACAGCTACGTTGTAATGGTGGTGAAAATGCCTCTCTTCTAGGGTCGTCTGGTTTTAATTTGTCATTTGGCTCAAGGAGGGGAATCATCTTGCCCAAATTTTACAGAAAACACCAGAAATGTAGAAATAGGCCCTCAGCCCCTGAAAGGTGCCTTCTGTCATTGGTAACAGGCGCCCTGGTAATCCCCAATGTTACGGTCCCATCTTCTTATGGTACCTTGATCATATCTATGCATGAATTCAGCTCCCTTTGCAGGAGAAAACGAACAATCGAGATAGTAACTAGTGTGAGTGTCCGAGAAGGGGGCTTCTGTGCTTTGCTGCTTACTCTTCATGAAGGGGGAAGACAAAAAATAAAAGCTACCAGGACGCCAGAAGGAAGGGGCTTAGTGCCAAGATTATCTGGGAAGAGCTTTCTAGAGAAGTCCCCCAAACAACATGGCACCCAAGTGGCAGAGACAAGGTGACTGAATGAGACTCATAGGTGGAGGGGCCGAGCAGATATCCCACAGATTTTCACATAATTTGGGGGAGGAACCACATACTCCCGAGCTGCCAAACACACGAATGGAAACAGCAGCAGATCAGAAGAGTCTTTGTGAATAAGGCAAAAAGGTCAAGTTCATGGACTGGTGACGAAAGAACATGTTAAGACTGCAGATGTCAGCAGCCCCAATCGCACAGGCACAAATGGACAGAAATGGGAAGTTTAAGACGGAAATAAAGTACAACTACAAAAAAGTCATGAAAGTTAATTTTTGTTCTTTTGCCACTGAGTTTGTGACTCTGAAGTTTTGCATTTACTAGATGAGGAGCCCTTGATAGAATTTTGTTGAATCCCATTTTTGTGAGACGTTTGCACTCTAGATGCAAGGCTTCTACAATTAGGTACACAAACCACTGCCTACCACCATTTAAATGGTCATCTCCAAACAGAAACAGTTGCCTGGGCAAGTTAGTTTAGGAACAAGTTACGTACTACGTACCCATCTCGGATAGCCGGCATGTGTGTTGGCACTACAGAGCCTCTGAGAGGTCTTCCAGTAAAGAAATCGACCTAACTTTGTTTAAGCGAGTATTGCTCAATGTATTTGGTGAGAAACTTTTTTTTTTTTTTTTAGCTGAGATCTAATGTATTTCACTCTAGGAAATGCTGGAGTGGAGAGGTGCAGGTGAGAATAGATGATAATGGCATTACCGTGGCGACCCAAGAGAAAAATAATCAGGTGGAACATGAGCCTAAGATTGATGCTGGGATGCGGAAAAGATCATGGCTGGGCATGGAAATGCTACTTGGACAAACGACCCCATATATCTTGGAAATTGGCTGAATCTTTTCTAATACTCTTTCAAGGTCCTCGCTGAGTCACTCCCATAAATGATGGATCTTAATGGGTCCAAATATCTCTAAAGCCTTCGTGTCTAACCATCTCCCTTTTTAAGTGTGTGATTCACTCCCCTCCAGCATGCAGGGCCAGAAAGAATGGCTGGCTTTCATTTTCCAATCATAAAACGCATCTCAAAACCGGCACACAACCATGCTGGACTACTCCGAGGCTCAGATTTCCTATCAGAAATTTAACTAGTAGACTCTTTAGAGACCCTGAGGAATGCCACCTTTCCCTGTCATTTCCGGACTGTTTTTTAAGAACTATATTCACTGTGGTGGAGTTGCTATGAGTAAAAGGAAGGCCTGAAGGCTTCAGGCAGAAAATATGGGCTTTTAACTCAGAAAGGTCTGGACTCAAATCCCAGCCCTGCCATCTCCTAGTATTGCGATCATGGAGAAGGCTCTTTCTACGTTTTCACTTCCTCATCTGAAAACGAGGATAATAATATATCCATTCAGGGCTGTTGTGAGGATTAGAGGAATTGACGCATGGGTGGGGAGAGAGGCACACTCAGACAGGATCAAGTCATGGTACCTTACCTATAAAAAGTAAGTCATCACTCGGCGGAACTGGAAGCACCACAAGAATATATGTGAAGCCATCTCCATCTCTGCATCTATTACAAAGATGGCAAAAGTACCAGAAAAAAGCACTCCATACCTGATGACTCGGGTGCGCTTCTGGGTATAAGGGGTGATGACCTTGAAAAGCAGTTCCATTGCTCCGTTGATGCCCAGCATGGCCCCCGTGGTGACTGAGAAAGACAAAAGCACAGCAGTTATTGAACGATGTGAACCAAACCTTATTTTCAGCATTAGAGAGTGAGCCTAAAAGATAGGGGAGGTTCATCACCTTCTTGGCCAGAGGAAACTTTAAAACCAGAGACACTCCATGGTCTTTTCATCCCTGGCTTGGAAGTCAAGGTCTTCTAAAAAGCACATATTGCCTTCTCATACAACCTTCTTCCCAGAGGGGGTCCAAGCCATGAGATTAGTTGCATGTTTTTCATTTTCTGATGGCCGACTCCATTTTACTGTTAGTCAAAATAGTTAAAGCAATTGCTGAACAGACGATTTTTCTGTAAGTGGACCTTTGGGTTTCTGACAATGACTTTAATTAAAGCTGTTTTGCCAACCACCATCTTCCCATAGGATATAGATACACATACACACACACACACACACACACACACACACACACACACACACACACACACGGCCAGTATCTTATAAAACACTTTCTTAGACATATTCTGCCATTTGGATAAGTCACAGATGAAGAAAAGTCACAGATGGATGGGTTAAGATTCAGTTCAATACAACTTGGACGGACTCCTTTAAAACTTTAGGAGGTAACCTAATAAAGAGGATAGCACCCTTTCTTTTCCACCCTGGTTCCAAATTCTCCTACAACTTTTATACTTGGATCTCCTATAAATGAGGCTAAGATTTGACTCTGCCTCTAGCTGTCATCATGTCAAAAGAAGAATTAGTTCTTCTTGCTCAGAGGTAACTAGCCTGAGAAATCTTTGCCTTCTTGCCCAAGTGGATGGTTAGAAAAACACAGCCATATATTTGCATAAGAGAAAGAAACTCAAAGGGGTCATCCCAGTGGTTTCAGATATGTGTTTTGGACACAAAAACCTCTGGATATCACTCTCATCTCCAAGGATGCCCTAAACTCTCTGAAATATCCCCCAGCACCCCACTCTGCTAAGTGCACTTTAGGGACAGCTTGTGTCACGTCAAAAAATAAGAGGAATCCACAGGATACAATATGGAATCAGTTTGGCAGGGAGCAAAATTTTCAGCAGGAGAAGGAAAGAAGGTTATCTTCCGAGGTTGGACTCTGTAATCTCTTTCCCCCAGCGCACTGGTGCTGTGCAACAGAGCCAGGCATGTTCCAGGAAACAGGAGTAGGAACAAGGGGTCACGGGAAAGCAAAGAGGGATGAACAAGGGAGGCTTATATACTGGCTTGCTCCAAGCCTCGGGCAAGGAGGATTAATGGAAGTCTGAAGCCATAAGTCTAGTTCATCCCGGTACAGCCCACCAGAGAGAGACTGAGGATAACATCCTTGCTATTACAGAGAGGGCATGTTCCTGGCACACCCCCTGTGCACATGTCCCTCCTGAGCTGGTACAGGCAGTAGCTGCCTGGATCAAAATTCAGGGATTTGGCATCCCAGTCCTACCCATCAGTCTTCCACTCTCAGGGATACTAACTCAGTCCTTCCTTCTAAATTGGGAAAATAGCCTGGAGCAATCTCTTGGCAAATAATTCAGCACAATTCTAGTATTAAGTACTGTTAGGGAGGAGAGAGTGTTACGAGCATGAATGCTAACATGGAAGACTTCAGCCTGGGAATTGGGGGAAGATAACAATAAGGAACCCTCACTGGGTTTTCATGCTGGATGCCTGCCCAAAGTTAGACCTCTGGCAGCTCTATAAATATCCCCGTTGGCCATCTGAGAGCTGCCGAAGGGTTCACTGGCTGTCACAGACCCATTCTGGTTCCAGCCAACTCTTTCTGCAGCCTGGAGCTATTTAGAAACCCTGCTGGACATTCGACAGTGGCTAACAATTCACCAAACAGACAGAAATCCATAGGCTTCGTGAACCTGCTTGCCTCTTATCAGCAAAGGCAACACAGAGGCTGATAGTATAATTCCTAAAATATTTTGAGAAACAGCTCATTGGGACGACACATGTAGTCCTAGAATATGAGACAAATGGCCACCTCCTGACCCACAGACAAATGCCAGCATTTTTCAGAGTTCCCTCGTATAGGCATTCTTCAAGATCTCTACAACCAACACACTCCTATATAATAAGATAAGTTATTCAGCCTAATTATTCTTTAGGAAAACAAAATGAGATACTTCAAATTGCGTTGGCAAGTTCCAAATGGGGGTGGCATACCTTCTGGCTACTCATTAATGAGTTTGTCCTTTATGCCAAGCCACAACCCCTCACTCACTTCCATTTTCCTTTATTAGAGATGGGCTTGGTCCTTTTAGCCCCTCCCAAACTATTCTCTGATTTTTCTGGTCAACATATATGAGTGCAAAGGATTCCATCTGTGAACACAAAAATCTATCTCGTTATTCCCTAGAAATGCTTTCTCATTATGGGTCCTCCAAGCTGATTAATGGGATTAACCAATCTGTACCTACTGTTTTAGTAGCTCTGAGCTTAGTTAGGGAAAAATGTCACCTACTTACACCCCTTATGTGCACTCTTCCTACTATTCCAAAGGACTAAGAGGGAAGAGTAGAGCAGGGAAGGGAAACTAACGCTTATTAAGCAACTGCTATATGGCCACCATATCGGTAAACATTATCTCGCTTATCACCTATCAAGTCTATTAAGTTCTTATTACTACTTAATTTTATGAAGGAAGACGCTGAGGTTGAATCGGTTAAGTGTCCATGTCATGTGACTCTTAAGAAATGAAATCAGAGTCAAGCCCAGGTCCTCCTGGCTCCAAGCCCATGCTCCTTCCTCTAGAGAGCATTACATCTAAGTAATTGTCACGTTAGTTCTGCAGGAAAGGGGCTCAGGAAGGTGAAATAAAAGTCTGTGCTCATTATATGTGAGACAGGAGGTATAGAATCGAATCTATTAATAAGAACGGTCTCCATATGGAGAGTCGAATCGACAAGAGTTTTGGAGCGGGAAACTCAGCCCCCATGACTTATCTGTATGAACTAAAGCAATTACTTCACTCTTCATTTCCTTTTTCTTGGCCGTAAAATGGTAAGTCTAAATACAGGATCGTTAGGGTAACCAGATAGAATCCAAATCAGGAGCTGACAAAGAAGTATCAACCCACGTGCTAGGATATGTCTCATGACCTTAAGGACTGTGTTTGAAGGCACAGTGAGGTGAAATTTGGTAAAGGATGTTGTGATAATGAGTAACTTCAGGAACACAGTGGGGAGGAGTGTGTCAGGAAGGTCGTTTCTGACAGGTGTAACCCATCACATGGTGCCCTGACTATGATAAGAACTGAATCAAGTTGCCCTCTCCTGTCAGAGGCCTTTTTCACCTTGCAGTACTAACAGAGAGGCCTAGAGTGCTGGAATGCGTGCTTCCCAAAGGAAAGCAATATTGATGTCTAACTTTTGGAACAGGCTCAAGAGGTCTGCCTGGCTGAGGAGATGAAGGAAAAACTTCTCACCTCTGCAGCCTTCAGAACATGAGGTTCCTCTTGGTTTTTGGGGACCACCTATGGTTTCCACGTGTACTCTCCCTCCAACCACACCCCCAAATGGTTTCCAGGTGTCCCAGCCCAGGTCTGGAGTCACAGTTGAGACACTTACCACTAGAGGCGAACACACGCAGAGCCCAGAGGCAGTGGAGGAGGTTCTGGCTGTGGGACAGGTTTTTCCTGGCCAGAATCAATGTCACATCAAGTGCTTCCAGCTCCAGTGCCTTCTGTCCAAACTTTTTATCTACAAACACAGATCAATCCATCTTAGTGGTGTGGTACATTAACGCTGAAGGTTATACGATGTGTGGGGGAGAGAAAGGCAAAGTTGATGGCGGGAAGAAGGTAATTACAGCCAATGAGACTTCTCAGATCTACTAGAAAAATGCCACTAAGTATGTCCCCATTGCAACCAGATGGCTCAGAAAAGCTAATTCAGGGTACACATATGGTCCGTTAGTCTTCAAATAATATTTACATGAAGGCCTGTGGGTTGTTGGGAGTAGCACCCCCTAAATGTAAGGGTGTTTCTGGTTGCCCACAAACATGAACTGCAGTTTAGGAGGGCATAAATTTCTTCCTTTAAGACAGTTCTAGAATTAAGAACACTTAAGTCACATAACATTAAAATACAATGTGTGGACCTCGATTGATTCTTCTTTGAACACGTCTGTAAAAGACATGCTGGGAACATTTGAGGAAACTGAAATGAGTCTAAATTATGCATTCATTGTGAATTTTGTTAGATTTGTTATCGTGGTGGTGTGGCTATAAAAGAAAACATCTCTTTTCAAAGAAATGCACTCAAAAGTATTTAGGAGCAAAATGCTATCTATAGTTTTCCTTAAAATATTTGAAATAAAACTAAATAGGTGAAGGAAATATGCCAAAATGTTACCCGTGGTTAGATCTAAGTGGCAGGTATATGAGGTCAGTTTTCTATATGATAGAGTGAAAACATATAATTTAAGAAAATAAAATTTTCTCCCCGAATTTCTCTAAGTTATTGATCCAAATGACCTGCTATTTAGTGTTGCAGTAAGTCATTATTATTTTAATACTAAGTGAATAAGAATAACAATAAGGGGAAAGTACCTTTTCTTCTATGTTCCTGGCTCCCACTATGATAACACGTGACTGACTGTGCCACCTGTCACATTTGTTTGTGTCCTTTCCAAAGTGTGATGCACACATCGTCATATTTGTATTTGCAGTAATAATCACTATCAGATTCAATGCAGGTGGAGGTAAAATAGAGATGATATCCTAAACCACCATTTCCCAACATTTACCTCCGGACCAAAGGATACCAGCAAAGAGATCAAGGCTAAATTCATAGGACCCACCCCACACATCAGGAAAAAAAAAGGGTATCTATGTGGCTCCATTCATGAGCAGGCAACTTCATTTCCCTTCTGTTCAAGTCAGCCCCTGGCAACTTGAATGTCAATGTCAAGGACTATATCTCTCCGTGACAGAAGCTACGTTGATGTAATTATGACAGCAGTAATATCAAGGTCTACGAGGATAACCTGAAAATCATTGCCCTGGTGCATCTTGCATCTCTCTTTCTCCTACGAAACCTACATGACTCTTTGTTTGTCAGGCCTCTCGACCCACGTGCTGAACACATGACTTACGATACCTCACTTAAACCTTACAGCAACCCTAGAATTAAATACCGATACCTCCATTTTGTAGATGAGGGCCCCAAAACTCACAAAGTTTACATGACTTGTCCAAGGTGAAACAGCTAATACGTGTCAGGGCCAGGTCTGAAACCTAGATCTGACTTTCTAGCTTGTGTTCTTTATACTGGGAATATATGCCATGTCTCTTCGGTATAGAGTTCCCTTGCCTCACTGTTTGCTTTGCTGACTTCTCGTCCTTCAAGTTTTGGCTCAAATGTCAGCTCTCCCTGACCACACCATCTTAGGGTACCATCCCCCCTTGGTCCCCTCATAGCTACCATCTGGTTCATTATCCTAGCCTGCTATCCACTGGTTAATTATTTGTTTGCTTTCTGCCCTTCCCCCACTTGAATGCAAGGTCCATGAGAGAGGGTCCCTTGTCTGTCTTGATCACCATGCTTGTTTCCAGGGCCTAGAACAGTGCCCTGAGAGACATGCAGTTAAATACCTGTTGAATATTCAATGAATGAATTTTATTGTTTTCATCTGAAACTCACTCATGCAGATGCTGTCTGATGCCTTGATCTCAATTTTTGGTGAAATGTCACATGAACACAAAGCAGACATCCAGACATTGAAAAGAAAGAGTGTCTCCGAGACCCGTGCCCTTGGCTGCCACTGCTGGCACTGGACATCAAAGGTCCATCTTTCAGAGGATCCAAGTGCCTCAACGGTGACATAAATGCCTCTGCTCACAATTGGAGTTTAACTGCTGTGAGTAGTTTGCCATGTTTGCATGCTTCATGAGCACCTGGGCTTTAGGATTTTAAGAAGGTCTTTCAGGGTCTTCCCTGTAGAAAGAGAAATGGTTAAGGAGCCTAAATGGAAAGAACTCTAGGCCCCATTTTCCCTGTAGTGAGGGACGCTCCACTCCTATGTGACTTACTGTAGTGGATTGAAAACAGTCCCCCCACAAAATTCATGTCCACCTGGACCCTCGGAATGTTATCTTATTCGGAAATAGGGTCTTTGCAGATTTAATTAGTTAAGATGAGGACATATGGTTTTGGGTGGACGCTAAGTCCAATATGACCAATCTCCTTCTAAAAAGAGAAGAGGACACAGAGAAAGACACACAGAGAAGAATGCCATGTGAAGACAGAGGCAGAAATTAAAGTGATGTGTCTGCAAGCAAGAAACATCAAGGGGGCCGGCCGAGTGGCGCGATGGTTAAGAACTCGCTTGGGATGCCAGAGGGCCCCGGTTCGGATCCCACATATGAGGGCCAGTGACACTGCCCTCTACAGCTAAGATGCTGAACGACAGCTCAACCTGGAGCTGGGCTGCCTGAGTCGCCGGCGACGGCGTAGGCTGCAGTCCCTGTGGCAGTGGGTTGCCATGGGCTACCGTGTGTAGCCAGCAGCCAGCGTGAGTGGCCAGCAGCCGCTGTGAGCGGCCGTCCAAGAAGCCGGTGACTGATCTGCCTCGCCCGGGAAGAGCGCAATGATGGTGCCAACTTGGGCCAGTGAAGCAACGTCCTCCACAACTAGATTGAAGAACAAAACGACAGCAACTTATCTGTTCCTCTTCCCCCAACCACCCAGAACTGTTCCCATCCCAATTCCCCAATAAAAATCTTAAAAAAAAAAAAAAAGAATCAAGGGCCGCTGGAAACCACCAGAATCGAGGGGAGAGGCATGAAAGAGAGCCTCCCTCAGAGTCTCCGGCAGGAACCAACTCTGCCAACACCTTGACATTGGACTTCTGACCTCCCGAACTCTGAAAACATGGACTTCTGTTACTGTGAGCCACCCACCCACTTTGTGGCGATTCATTACAGTAGCAGCCACAGAAACGAATGCACTTACAACAATGAACTTCCATGGAAGGTGCTATGTGTAGACATGTTCCATTTATTTTTAAAGTGATTGAAAACTACCTTGGAATGTCTCCCCTCTGTCCCCACTAAGCCCATGCCCCATGCAGCCCCTGCCCTGTCCTAAGCACTATACCTTGAATTAGCTGGCATCCAGGACAGGGCAACAAAATTACCTCTTCTACGGGGCTCATCCTGCCATCAGCACCCAGGTGTCTAGAACCTCCCTGCTGTTTCTTCCCCACAAGACCTTCCCAAATTACTCTCATGATAACAACCCCAGGAGGGCCGTTCAGTCATTTTCGGGGCTCGGGGTATGGGTACCTCGGAGGCCAACTTTGGCCAGCAGCCGGATGAGGGGCAGGAGGACATCATAGTCCGGAGAAGCTGCCCTTGCTGTGTCCACCAGGGTCTGCAAGAGGGCTTCGCTGCCACCCTTGCTGATCATGTAGCGAATCCGCCTGTCTGTGCCTGCAGGGGAGAGCAGAGGGGAGCTGAGCCGTGACGGATCGCCTTATGTCCTTGGAGCAGAGAGGAGACCTCACAGCTAGAGACAAAGCAAGGATTGGATCATTTCACCCAGAAACCACAATTGTGTCACTTCCTGGATCAGCTTGTGTCAAAGTTGTGCTATCAGGGCAGACGCCAGCATCGGGGTAGGAAGGGGCTATGAAATGGAGAAAGAATGGAATATTTAAGAACCTAGGTGTATTCACCTGCAACAGCTATAATAAATGGAGCCCAGAATCCACTTTCCTGAGGACCTCCTGAGTCTTTAGTGCATGTGTGTGTACTTGTGTGTGCATGTGTATAAATATGCATAAAGCTTACACGTAATCATATGCTAAATGGAAGAGGGACTGCAGTACCCCTCTGCTAGAGGTTTGTGTCATCTGTAACAGGGATTGGGGTGACAGCATATGTGCAATAGTATTACTGATGGTAACGACTTTTGCAGTTAATTGGTGGGAGGAAAATATGGGAAGAGTTGGAGTCATTCTTTGACAAACAAATGTCCATGCATCTTATCTAGTGATTTTCAAAGAGGGTGTGAGGCTAGGGTGAAGTATATTGATCTTTCTGCCTAATAATTTTAAACAGCGACCCTCCCCCAACACACACACACACACACACACACACACACACACACACACACTTTGCCCCAGAAGAAGCTCAAAAACAGTGATTCTATGTCACCTGGGAAGCGGCCTTGAGTGACTCTCTAGGTACCGGTTATGGTTGCCCTAACCAAGGTGGCCAATGGAGTGGGATGCTATCAGCAAAGACGACCCTCTGATTTTTCATCCTAATGAAAAGTGGCTTCCTCTACTAAGGGCTCAGCAGAGCTCAGCGCCTATATCAGAAGGAGAACACTGAGGTTTCTTCTAAGAGTTTCAGACATCTCTGGACAAATTAAACGCAGCACCTTCCCTGAAGACCGGTGGCTTCACCTACAGGGGGTGCCTCACGCAGAAGACTGCAGAGAAGTCACCCTGCCACTGGAGGGCAGCACAGCCTATGGGAACACCTCAGCATGCATGGACCTTCCTCTTGAAACGGTAGCCTAAGGCTCTGTGCCTTGGGAGTATCATTCATTTTGGTATTGTCAGCTTGTTAATATTTCCTTCTGATGCAATGTGGCTGGCACACATAGAAATGAAAACGGACTGAATGTTGGCATGTCCAAAACGCTGTGTTTTCCAGGATCCTCGCGTGGACATGAGCTACCAGAGGCAGGCCCCAGGTAACTTGATTCCAAAGTAGTCAACTCTGCCATCTTATCTCTGGAAACTGAATGGCTCACCCCAGTGCTAAGCCCTGGTCCTGCCTCCTAGTCCAATGTCCACTTAACATACAGAAGGGAGCTGCCACTACCTGGCTCTCTAGGTGGAGAGACGCAGAAGGAGGAGAGAAGGACAGCATGGCTGAAGGCAACTCTCTCGGAGGAGAATCACAGACACCCAGAGGTGTCTTATAATGAGGTACCATAGAATAACCACCAGGGTCTAATTTCCTCCTAAGTGTGGGTCACTGCAGGGTGGATGACAAGACAAAACTAAAATACAATCCGCCTAGTTTACTCCAGGTCTTATTAACCTCAATGGGGAAAAAATGGGCAGGGGAGTGTCCCGCAGAAAACTTGAGTTGGAGCACACCCCCAGGTGACACAGACTCCTGGGTGACCCCACGGCTGCATGCCCTCACGTCCACCACAGGGGGGATAAGGGTGCGGCTACTCACCCACAGAAAGCAGATCTCCAAGGACCTGGAGAATGGTCAGGATGGACTCCCGGTCAGAGCAGTTCTGCAATGAAAACACAGGCAGCCAATGTTAATAAGGGGTGCAAAAGAGGGCAGGTGGGGGGGGCTAGGGATGCACGTGCAAACAGCAGAGCTGTGCTCCCTTCCATTGAGAAAGACTTCCCGCAACAAAAAAATGGCTGATGCAGTGTTCCTTAAACAATGACAGTGAGGGGACTCACTGAGGTAAGGATCCTGGGGGGCTCCACCTCCATACTGAGCCTTCAGGCCCTCTTTTTAGGGACCCGGTTTTTGTTTTGTTTTGTTTTTTTAGTAGCATGATGGAGAAAAGAAGCAGCATTGGTAATTTATGCAGAAACAGCAAGGGAAAGGGGGCTCTGTGGGCCAAGGCAGCACAGTTCTGTGATTTCAGTAGGCTTGGGTTATTTTTAAATGCAGAGAGCCGACACAGGAGCCTGCTACAATGTTGTGATGGAAAGACTTCCCTGACTGATAAGGAAGAATTTTTATTCTCTCAAGAGAAACCTAGGGTAGTACCAAGTCTCATTATGCAGATGTTGTAATGGGACCCCTTTGTTATACTGAAGAGAAAACTGAGGTACAGAGAGGGAGGATTGTTCAAGTCCCCTGAGGTGACCCATAGAGCAAAGCTCAAAGTACACCCCAGGACAATGGTCTTTGCACTGTAATATGCTAACAGCTTTTTTTTTTTATCTCAAGAACTTATTTATCTACCATTTGCAAATCTGACCCTTAAATACCATCTCCCCCAAGCCCACCCCCCACCCCCACACCAGCCCCTAATAACCACCATTATTATACTGTTTTTACAAGTTCAGCTTTTTTAGATTCCACATATAAGTGATGTCATACAGCATTTGTGTTTCTGTTTGAATTATCTCACTTAGTAGAATGCCCTCAAGGAGGTCTATTCCTGCTGTCACCAATAACAGGATTTCCTTCTTTCTCCTGGCTGAGTAATAGTTCAGTGTGTGTGTGTATGTGTGTGTGTGTGTGTGTGTGTGTGTGTGTGCGCGCGCGCGCGCGTGAGAGCATATACATACATATATGTTCTTTATCCACTTATTTGTTGACAGTTTGCTTCCATATTTTGGCTATTATAAAAAATGCTGCAGTGAACACAGGTGTGCAGATATTCAAGATACTGATTTAATTTCCTTTGGATCTATAATCCAGGAGTCCTATCTTACACCACTCAGAAAAATTAACTCAAAATGGATCAAAGATTTAAATAGAGCCAAAAAACACCTAAAAGAAATCTTAGGGGAAAAGATTCGTGACATTGGTCTCGGCAATGATTTCTTAAGTAAGACACTGAAAGCATGGGCAAAAAAAAAAAAGAAAAGAAAGAAATACTACATTAAACTAAAGAGCTTCTGCACAGCAAAGGAAAGAAGCAACAAGGCAACCTACAGAATGGGAGATAATATTGGCAAACCATCTATCTGATAAGGTACTAACATGCAAAATATATAAAGCACTCATACAACTCAGTAGCTAAAAAAAACAGATAACCCAATTTAAAAATGAACAATAGACCTAAATAGAAATTTTTCCAAATAGTACCTACAAATGGCATGTGAAAAGATGCCCAACATCACTAATCACGAAGGAAATGCAAAAAACCACAATACCACATCACACCTGTTAAGTTAGGCTTTTATCCAAAAGAGATAACAAATGTTGGCCAAGATATGGGGAGAAGGGAACCCTACCTAGTAAGCTATTTTTTAAAGTACGTCATTGAAAGCCAAGCTTTAATCTTCCCCATAGCAGCAAGTCTCATGTTCCTCTTCTGCCTTAGAGACCTCTGTAATGCCCCATGACATACAGGGCAAAGTCACAGCTCATTAATAGGGTTTGCAAAGCTCCTCAGTCTCCTGTCCTGCTTCTGTCTCTGATTTCATTACTCACGACAACAGCTCTGCCCAAAAATACCTGCTCCGGCAACATGAAACTCCTTCTATTTCCTGTTCTATCCATGCAGTTGCTTGCCTCTGTACTTCTGACCTTCCTATTTCCTCTTCCTCGGCAATGCCGGCTCATCCTTCCAGGGCCCTGTGGCTCCTGTAAGATTCCCACGCCCCTGCAAGCTGGGCTTGGGGTGTCCTGTGTCTCCCCACCACTCTGGGCTCAGCTCTGACAGCATGCTCACTGCATGGTGTTGGCATCGGGGTATAATCTGGCTTCCCACTGCACCCTCATTAGATATAAATGTTTAAAGAAGGGACCACGTTTTGCGTAGATCAGCATTCCTGGCACCAGGGACAGGGTTTGTTTCAGAGAAGGTGTACAATAAATGCGTTTAAGAAGGCAACCGAACTGAACGGTAGACGAGCCACCTGGAATCCAGGACGTCTCACACCACACCCAGAGGCAGAGTGGTGCTTATACTGTCTTCAGGCCCAGGTTTACGACCCTCCAGGGAGTTGCACTTCAACAGCCCAGCCAGGGCCCGGCGGAGGGTGAGGCGAGTGATGTACCAGCTGGCCACAACATTTTAAATTTACAATGCAGTAATCAAGATACAGAATACGTTAGTTCTATATTTTTACAAATCAAAATTAATACCAAAAAAACAAAACAAACCCACAATGAACAAGATATCCAAGTTTAACTCTTTACCTCCCATCCCAGGTGTGATGAACAATCTGGGGATCCCTAGGCAGCTGCCATCTACACTTACCCAGAAAAAGGGCGTGAGTTTTGCTCTGGCTTCCTCTCCCCTGGGAGCTTGGCCAAAGGAGGGTGGTCTCAGCATGCACTGTGCTAATGCCTCCCATCATGGCAACACGCAACGTTCGCCTGAAGGCACCATTCTGTGAATCCACACCGCCCTCCCACAGATGCCGTCATACACATGCACAATGCCAGGGCTCGCTGCCCCTCTGCAGTCTCCCCAAAACCTGGGGATAGGAACCAAAGAGCAGTGCAGCAAGTAATCTGCCATTCTGGCAAGCTGGAGAGGCTTTGGTTCTGGTACCAGGTTCCAGTATGCGGAGGGTCTCCCCACACCAGTAAATAATGCTTCGGACACCCGCTGGATGTGCTCCAATTCAATTCAATGCCAACACTACCTACCCGAAGATAGACTGCGATTCCACAGGTTAGGGGCTCAGTTCCACCAGGCTGCTCCCCCTGCCCCCTGACTAGAGCTTCTGGTTGCAGGTGTAGGTCATTAACTGTACAGTAAGTCCCCGGCTTACGAACTTTCGCAGATACGAAGGGACCTCACATTACAAACATTCGTAGATGCAAACAAACCGCGGAAGTAGCTCACATGTCTGCCAGCCATTGTCACAGCTGTGCTGCTGTGTGCTTACTGTCCAGTGCGATAGTGTACGGTAGTACAGGGCTCAATCAGAGCCCAGGGTGTCCAGAAGCAAGAGGAAAAGCAGTGGTGATGCGGAGGGGACTGCTAGGAAGGGCAAAGCAATAACCATGGAAACAAAAGTGAAAATAGTTGAGAGATTGGACCGAGGTGAAAGTCCAAAGGCGAAATGGTAGACGTCGCTTGTTCTTCATTCAACCACTGGCTTTACCTTGTATATTTGTGTCAAAGGCATATATAAGACTCGCTTTGCCGGACTTACGAACGAATCCAATTTACAAACGTTCTCCCGGATCAGAACTCATCCGTAAGTTACTGTGCTTCTGACCAGCTGGCTATAAATTCAACGCTCCCACACCCTCCTCCTCAGGTTCAGTTAATTTGCTAGAGCAGCTCACAGAACTCAGAGAAACACGGGACGGGCTAGATGACCCGTTTCTGGTGAAAAAAAATGTAACTCAGGAACACCCAGGCGGAAGAGACGCAGAGGGCAAGGTTTGAGGCAAGGGCATAGCGCTCACATGCTCTCCCAGCACTTTCACGTGTTCACCGACCCCAAAGCTCTCCAAGCCCTGTCTTTCGGGGTTTAAGGATGCTTCATTACAGTAGCTCCCCCTTATCCACACACAAGTCAGACGTTCCCAGGCCCCCAGTGGATGCCGAAACCTGCAAACTGTACTGAACCCTCCATATAACATTTTTCCTGTACATACAACACACCTGTGATCAAGTTTAATGTATAAATTAGGCCCAGTAAGAGATTAACAACAATAACTGATAATAAAACAATTATAACACTCTGCTGTAACAAAAGTTAGGTGAATGTGGTCTCTCTCTCCAAATATCTTATTTCACTGAAAACGCATTCTTACCGTCAATCTTAGCAACCTCAGCACCGGACTTTTTTTTTTTTCTGTCCTTATTAAGTGGGCGCTTTCGCCTTTACACTTAACAGAAGCACTTTCTGGCTTCTCGGCATCTCCGACTTGCCTGCGTCACCACTCTTGTGCTTTGGGGCCATTATTAAGTAAAATAAGGGGGACTTGAAAACGGAACACTGGGGTTCCTCAAAACCCGGCTGGGTCACCCGGCGGGGGGCGTGGCTGCAGCGTGGAGACGCCGCACAATGGGAGGCGGCACCTCCAGGGCCTCGCGAGATTTCCTCATGCTACTCAGAACGGCCGCAATTTAACGCTTGTCAATTGTTTCTTTCTGGTATTTTCCACTTATTATTTTCAGGCCGGGGTTGACTACGGGTAACCGAAGCCGTGGGAAGGAAAGCTGCAGATAACGGGGTGACTACTGTATACAGTCGGACAGATTCAACCTCCAGGCTCCAGGTTCTCACTGTCCCCGTGGGGAGCAGAGGGGAGGCGGAAAGTGCCATCCCTCTAACCAGGCAGGTCCACGGTTCTCCTGGCCACCAGCCCCCATCCTTAGGTGGTGTCCACAAGTCACCACTTTCACATCAGGAGAGACACCTTTATAGCTCTCATCACTTAGGAAATTCCAAAGGTTTAGGAGCTGTGTGCCAGAAACTGGAATGAAGACCAAATATATATTTCTTGCGCTAAATCACAGTATCACAGCAGGATGCCAGGGACCCAAAAAACGGCTCACAGGAGAAAACAAAGTCCCTGACCAACACTGAAGTTTTTGGATCCATCTCCAACAGCCCCTATCATTGTTCC